AGGCATTCAGTGTTGAAATTCTGTAAGAAAAACATTGCTCTGAGTCTCAGAGTTCTGTAGGTATACCTTGCCCTTAGGTTTGTCTCTTAGAATTTGGTGTTGAGCTCCCATTGATATGGTGATGAAGATAGTGTCATGTTTACCTTTTTACTTTGACTGCCAGGAAACTCTTACCTAGACCATGGCTCTGTTGCAGCAAATCTCAGCCCTGGTTCCCAGGATAAGTCTCTTTCTTGATGTCATTTCTGATCTCTTTCAACTTTTGTCTTTACTGCACTGTAACATCTGTGTGTTCTTTATAGCAAGCCCCCTCGACTCATGACGAGTGTATGTGTGTTGTACTTCTGAGACATTTGGCCCCACGGGCTTGGCCCTGCCCTTGGAGCACAGGTCAGTGGGCTTGTGCTCTGTGCTGTGCTGAAGTCTGGGCAGAGTTGTTGGGGTCACTTGGTGGTTCTTGATTCTCGCTCTACACGCTTGGTCTGTGACCTCATCTGGGACACGGCGAGGAGAGCTGCATGGGCTCCGGGGTTATGAAGACTGAAAAGGCGTGTGCCAGTGTGGTGGCAGTGGGTGATTGTTCTCGTCCCCAAGCTAGGGCACACAAAGTCTGAAGGCCTGGTGTGTCCCTGGGCAGTGTTTCCAAGGCTGGCTCGTCTCTCTCTGCGGGAGAGCAAAGCCAAATCTAAAGCTACCCTGGGCAGATGTGTGGTGGTCAGCTTGACCAGTTCCCCAGGGCAGCCTGGGGTCAAGGCCTCTTTTGTTTTCCGCACACCTGCTTCCTTGGATTGGGCGAGAGAGCATGCTTTGCCGTGATTGTTTTGACGTTTAAAACGTAGTTAAATTCCCTATACTTGGCTGATTGTCGCACTGTAACTTGGGACATGTTACTTGGGATGTAGCTTGAAGATGGTCCTGGTGCTGAAGCCTCGGTGGTGGCTGGTGCTGTGTGCAGTCATCCTTCCTCCTCTTGGTGCTTCAGAGGTGGGCGGCCTGGCCCCCAGCTGCATCCCCATGCCCCATGTCTGGAGCGCCCCATCCCCACCACACGCAGTCTTCTTGGCTGCGGTCAGCGTGGACCCCGCTCTAGGGCGTTCCCTTGGCCCAGCCACTCCCCCAGCTGCCGCCCAGGTGACCCCCTGTTGAGTGGGCACATGGGGACAGGGACGATGGAAGCATTCCCTGCTGACTGCTGTTGTCACTGTCTCCAGGGCCGTTTTTCATATCTTCAAAGAAAAGTGCCTAAGTGTGTCCCAGGGAAACTTGGAGAACTTGAATCCCCCCTCCTCCTACCTCTAAGGCACTATTCTTCAAGAGAACGATCCTGGAATTTGGCATCGTTTTGCATTCTGGTTTATGATGAGAAATCAAATACTTCTGCTCCATCTGAACACGATTTTTACTGAGCTGACTGCCCCTTCTCCAGTGCATGCCCTTCAAGCCTCCCTGCTTGACTCACGTTGGTCTCTTCTCCCGGGATGCCCTTCTCCTTTCTTGCTCCGAGGAACTCTTCCTCCTTGGGGACTCGGCACGGGGATAGCTCTGTGCTTCCTGCCCGGGATCTCCGCTTCTCTGGCAGATGCTTCTGTCTCTGTCATTTTATTTACCTCTTGTCGTATGACCTTGTTTATTTGTATGGCCCTATCCCTCACCCAGTGTAAGCTCCATAAAAGGAGGTGCTATCACATTTCTCTTTCAACAGGAAGGACCCTCCCATCTTGACTCCATTTGGGCATAGGCCCGGTATTTTGCTGGAGCATGTAGATAGCCTTTGGTCCCTGAGTTGGGCACCTGCGCGTGCGTACCTCCTGGTTCCAGCGGAGTGCTTGCTTACAGCCGTCCTCACTGCTGGCAGCACTTACAGGTGCCCCTTAGGCTGGGCTGGGCATTGCTGCTCTGCACTCGGTGCTGGTGACACAGGCATTGCCCGTGAGACCTAGTGGGTGCTGACACATGCTTCAAAGTCAGGCTCTCTCTGCGTGCAGGCAGGTTTGGGGCCGCAGGAGCTCCTCGCCCAGAGAAGAGCACAGACCGTTGGTTGTTTCCTGGAGGGACACACAAAGCTGAAAGTTGAAGGAGTCATCTTCTGGACCCGGGGGGTGGCCGTGAAAGTCAGTTACCCCAATTAATACAGTTCCTGATCCAGATTGTGGAGATGAAAATACCAGCAGGATGGGGTCCTACAGCTCAGGCACCTGTGATTTTGTGTGTGTTTGTGAGCAAAAGAAGGAACCGTAATACATACATTGTTTGTACTTAGCATATTCAGTTTTTTTTAATAATCTTCGTAACTCAAATGAGTCACTGTAATATCTCTTTCTAAAGTATTTTTATGACTTAGACTAAAACAGCATTAACGCAACTCTGGTCTAAGAAGTTTTTCACTTGAAGGATGAAGGACCAAGAATGATAGGCATGAGAGGGTATATTAGTTTGCTGGGGCTGCCATAACAGACTAGCCCGGACAGGAGGGCTTAAGTGCCAGAAATGTGTTTCTTCGCCGCCCTGGAGGCCAGAAGCCTGAGATCTCGTGCCGGCTGGGCCCACGTGGACCGCACAGCGTTGCTGGCTGGGGCCTGGTTGGGCGTCCTCACCTGGCCTCGGCTCCTGTGCCACCTGCCCCACGTTAGCGCCATCAGGCCTGTACTTCGTGCTCCCATAACTGCCATAAGCAAGCAAGTTTGCATGGCTGCAGGTGTTAGAGGGCAGGGAGTCTGCCGGAAACAGGAGCTGCCCGTCCTCCAGCTGTTTCTGAGGTGGGGGCCGTACCCTCTGAGCCAGCAGCAGCCTCAGCCGGCTGTGCCGGCTGTCAAGGGTTTTCTGGGCTGGCACGGCTCTCGGAATCAGTGGTAACGGCTTCCTCTGTTGAATGTTGTCCAAAAGCAATTGTTGGCTGGCTTAAAAGCCTGTGCCAAGTTGTCAGGCGTGCTGTCTGAGAGGGCCGGCGTCCCGGCGTCCCTGCTCACTGAGATGCTGCAGCATCTTCCCAGTTGTCAGGGGATTGGGTGTTCCTCTTGCGAAAATTCCTGCATTCCTCCCTCCACTCCCCAGCTTTCTTTGAATACCTCCAGATCCTTTACATTTGAGATGAAAGTGGAGCTCCAGAAAACTTGAGACATCTCTCGTGATGTGACTTTTCCTTACTAACAGTCACAGCCACCCTTGTCTGCCTGCTGTCCCCAAAGGATGGGTGGAAGATTTCTCCTCTCAAACGTTGTCAGTTCTGGAGTATAAAGTGAGCTAAGTGTAAGCAGTTGGGGTCTGACCCTAACGTGACCCAGTCTCCTTGTTGGTGTCATTTTGACCCCATTGTCTGGTCACGCTGAGGCCGGCATTGACACCCTGCTGGCGTGAGATGTCCCATGTTGAAGTGATTGCTTAGCCCAGCCCTGCATACACTTTCTTCATTTTAGTAAGTCGTGGTTTTATTTTGAATAAGCCTCTTTCAACCTATTAACATAAGTCTAAACTAAAATTAACCTTCCCCTAAATTATTCTCACACAGAAGAAGCAAAGTAATTTTGAAAGTTAAATCAAAACAAAGCAATCTTGTGTGTAAAACAGATAAAAATCACAGACTGTGGTTACGGAGTGCCTCTGCAGGAATCGCTTACATAAAGCCGATTTCCTCCAGTCTGGTTCTGGAAGGAGAAAGGGAAATGCCGGGGCCTTATCACAATCCCGTTCTGTCAAACAAGTGCTGGAGAGCTTGTGTAAACAGTCTTGGGGGGGAGCTGCACTCGCAGCTGGTGTCTGTGGGCATGTTTGGGTCTGAGAGGGGACGCTGTTCTCAGCCTGACTCGTGGCCAGGGGTTCCGTGGCGGTGCATGGGAAGCCTCCCCCACCAGAACAAGAGCGGGGTTCATGGAGCGCACTGGACAGAGCAGAGAGCTAGTCTCAGGTGTGGGTTATTCCTGAAGGCAATGGCCAGGGTGGTTTCAGACCTGAACGGTGGAACAGGCCATAGCTCCCGGTGTGGAGGCAGATGTGTTCTGTTACCACCTTTGGCCGCTCTGAATTTATACCTTGCACGTACTCACCTGCAGAACTCGAGGGTGGGCATCCCGGAAGACCTGAGCATCTCTGAGACTTTTAAATAACCTGGCAATTTCCTTTGAACAGTTGCTCGGCTTGTCATAACACGTGATGGTCACTGATGAAGAGGCCTCTTTTATTTTTAATCGCTCTTTGCTCCCCACACCAGGGGGCAGGGGACAGGGGCTGACTGTGCCTATGTCTGCGACCCTGGGCACAGCGCTGAGCCAACAGTGTTTATCTGGCGGAGCCACCCGCAAACAGCCGAGGCGCATCAGTGCTCCACTTGATTTAGCTTCTTAGGGCAAATTACCCCAAATCACTGGTTTCTCAAGTAAATTACAGCTACCAGAAATTCATCCTTGGGGGAGTCTGAAACATCTCTGAATGTCGATAATCTGGTAGTGAGATAGTCACTTCATATCTATCTACCGAGTTCATTCTTTCCTCTCTTCTGTCCCCTCCACTGCTGCCTCTTTTCATGGGACACCAACTCTGGTGACCTGGGATGGCTTTTCTCCAGCACCTGCACGGAGGTGGTGGGACATTCGTTTTCCAGTGGTTGATGCATTTCCTGATCAAGGCAGTTCTGGCCAGTGATAGCATCAGCCTGTGAAATGAATATGTGGTTTTTAGAGGGGCAAGCTGAGATTCAGGGGTTCTCTTTAAATTTTCCAAACATTCTTTCCGTTGCGTTGTTTTTCTTTTTAAGAAGGTGGAAATCATTTGGTATGCCTGCTCTTTATGTAGTGATATCTTCCTTTGCAGGGGAAATGGAAAGGACTTCCCTTCACAGCCTCAGGGAAGCATTGCTGCTTCCATGACACAATGCTCTTTGAGAGATGCCTTCCATAGCTGTTAAGATGAGATTGGTTGTTCACTTAAATAAGGGCATCCCCCACCCCCCTTTACCCCCAAAAAAATTAGGGCTGAGAAACTAAGAAGCTTTCTTGTTGTTGTTTCAGGTCATTGTGAATAATTACCAAGCAGCTGACGCCCAGCCCCAAATGATCATCTTACGACTGTTACGTTACATCGTCCGTCTGGTGTGGAGACTGCAGTGACACTGGGTTCCGTGCGGAGCCGAGACGTGTGCAGACATTTCACTTGTTGAAGCCAACAGGCCCCCGCACCACAGCCTCTGGGTGCCATTGCCGTGCAGCCCGCAGTTCTCTTCCAGAGAGGGCGTGCGGAGAGGCCGGCCGCCGCGTGTCCGAAGACACCGAGCTGCACGTGGACTCGCCCTTTCTTTTCATCACCACATGGCAGAATTTCGAATGGAAGTTTGTTGTGAATGTAAATGAGGGAGGATTCTTTTTTCAAAAGAAAAAATGTACAAATCATGGTTCTTCGGAGCAGGATTTTATGCAAGAATGGTGTTTACATGCAGTGTGGGTTTTTCCCACCTTCTTTAATAAGAACAGGTTTTTCAAAAAGGAAATGGAAACTTTTTAACCAACTTGTGAATGAGTTTTGTACTAAAAATTTAAGAACTATTGCCTACTGTCAGAGGATTATGTAAACTCTACAGTGGAAACCGAGCCAGCTAACTTATAAAGCTGCCTTAGTTTATTTTTAGAGGTTACTGTACAGAATTTTTAAATGGGAGAGGTATGATATGGCCCCTTCCTTCCCTGCCATTGCCTCTTTGACCTATTTTTTCATTATTATTAATACCAAAAAAGTTCTTATGAAACAGAACTGATGAAAGGGGCCAAAGGGTTTGTTATCAACCGGCTTTGGTATGCCACTCCTGTCTTGTAAATACTTACCTCCTTAAATTCAATTGCATCTGTGGCAATATTCCAGACTCTGTGTGTTTTTCCTTATGTTCTTTGTGATGCTCCTCTGGTCTGCACAAATTTGGTCCAGTGTGTCTTCATGGTAAAATGCGGTTGTGTCAGAATGTGAGTTGTTATCTGCCTATATCATCCATGGCTCAGTTGGTCTGTCTGTTGGTAGCTTACTAACTGGGAAGATCTTGGTGTTGGTTTTCCTTGCTTTTTGATGGGCTTGTCATTTAGAAGTGTTTCAAAGAGGTAATAGCAGTAATAACAGAGTATTATGCCCCTTTACGCTGTTGGCTTCTCCGGGTTCAGGCTGTCCCGTAGTCACAGGATGCACTCTCAGCATAAGGTCCTGGACGGTAACATACCCGCTTGCAGCGAAGTTCGGCTGTAGGTGTGCGAGCCCTCGTGGGAACTGGCACAGGCAATGGGCGGGGCTTGAAGCGGCTGTTTCCCAGGCATTCTGGCTTTTCCTCCAGCTCAGAGTTATCTGGCCTTTGATGTCTGACACTTGGTTCAGACTCTTCTCAAGTCCACTTAAGGGTTTAGCTTTCAGCAGGACCGTAAGAAAACTCCATTGGGCATAAGTCTGAAATGGTCCCTCAACCTTCTGGCAGGCATCTGTTTTACTTGCTCCGTGTCTCTTGGGACAGTTGGACTTTGCAGGCACCCTCCCTGCATCTGGTTCTGTGAGGAGTCCTCTTCCTCCGCACCTGCCTGTGAAGATTGCAGCCAGTGGGGAGCCCATAAGTTGGTCAGTCATTTCAAAGGCAGTTCAACAACTGGGGAGACCCAAGAAGGAGACAGAGTGTAGGGCTCAGTGAGAGACGGGGGATGGAGATTGTTCTGTGAACCCTGTAACTCTTACAGTTGTTGAAACCTCAGATCACTAAATGGCTTTTTAAAAGAAATATGTGATTTTTCAAACAAGTCAACTGTTTCAGCAACTATCGTGTTTGCATTTGGCCCATTGAGGACCAGTGTTTTCACGTTACTAAATTAAGTGGAAAAATCCATTCATTTGTACCTTCCTAATTTTATATGAATATATATTATATATATTGCAAATATACTTCTTCCTTTAGATAGAGATATTTGATTCCAAATATTCCTTTTTTAAAATGTTCCTTTCCCCAAATATCTTCTTGGGGTCTTGAATATTTTTAAAGCTGTGTCGAGTGTCAGCTTGTGTTCCTGACGGGTCTTGAAGCCCTCGGTAGGGCCGTCAAGTCCACAGGGCTGTGGGGTGGTAGGATGGCGGCGGGGACCTACTGGACACACACACCAAAGAGGTATTTGGTTCTGGGCCCCTTCTCACCCAGGACCTCCGTACTCATGTGCCAGTCTCTCTGACTGGAGCACTTTACTCTGTTTCTTCAATCCTGCGGCTCCCCCGGAGCGCAGGACGCAGCCCCGGCTGGCGTTGCAGGGCTGTGTGCTCGCCACGTGCGCAAGTTTACCTCCGGCTCGGTGGCCTCCAGGCCTCCAGGCTGGCCGTGGAAGCAGCTTGTGAGGAAATAAGAGGTTCTATGAATTGTAGAAGTATTAAAGAACAGGATGTTGCACCAGGATTTCGGAGAGATGACTGGATGTCTCTGTACTGTACGTGTCTGTTTATCGAGATGCCTCTCTGCGAAAGTGTACCTCCTGGGGTATACCTTTTACTTTGTACATTTTATTTCTTTTATATTTTGTAGAAAAAAATAACGATCCCTTTTTGGAAACATAATGCGGGTTTTGTGCCTTCACCACCTCTTCTCACGTGAGGTAGAAAGTGTCCTGTGACTTATCACAGAAATGCAATAAACACACACAAAATTAACTTCATCAATGATTTGTCAAATGACCTGGACTCCTGCCTAGAAATGAGTTCATGAAGAACTTTTTTCGGTTGTGGAGAAACCAGGTAAAAATTCCTTCTGATGAAAGAAAATGTGTATGGCAGAATACAACCTTCTCCTGTTTCCCCTTCTTGATGTTGTATATATTTTGACTATTTATTAGATTAGGAAGTCATATTTTACTTATCAACTGAGCCAAATGTCTCTGTGCAATTGTGTTTCCTTTACTTTTCTTGTAAAATTTTGTACAGCCTAAATGAGTAAAAATCACTGTTTTTACTAAACTTTTTCAGAATTGAGGATTGTAAATATTGTAGATTCTTTTTCTGTGTAATGTGTCCTACTGTTTCATAATGCTGTAACTTGTAGAAATATTGTATATTTATTTCTTGCTTATTTAATGTCTTAAGTTCTGAGAAGTGTTGACGTCCCGGACCCCACCCCTTGCTGTCCCATTAATTGCTTTAGCTCTGAGGTGGTGACTGGTCAGCTGTCTGCAGGCTATGTGGTCTTCCCAGGGTGGCCCTCCAGCTTTGATTCCTGGTACTTCTGGTCAAATGAGTTTAAATTCTTGGGGCTTGCTGTCCTTATGATGAAGTTCGTGTTTAGACTCCAGTGAGATCTCGACTGTAAATCTGGCAGGCTACAAAATTCTAATCCAGGAAATACCCAGTGACTTTCTTTTTGTTCCAAAATAGCTAGTTTCTCATGGAGGCAAATTATATTAACTCCAGGCCATATCTTTTTTTAAAAAAAAAATGTATTATGGGCACTTGGGATGGATTTTCCTGTTGAAAATTTATCCCTGACAACTCAGCGTTCAGAGAAATAAAACGTGCCCCTTCTGGAGGTGCTGCCCTGAGAGTCTTCTGGGCGAGGGCCAGGCAGGGTGAAGGCACAGGTGGGATGCGTTGCTCCTGCTTGGAGAGCAACCTCAGGACCACCTCATGCCACTAATCCCTTCTTGGCGACTGGTGAGTCGTTGAGTTTTGCCCACCCTCTGTGTGGTGTCCTATGCTGTGAGGTGTGGACTAAATTGGCTGTCTTCAGGAGCTAATTGTGCAGCCCCCCAGCCGGGAACCATTTGGTCCCTGCGTTTGAGCAGCTTGCTTCTTCAGGCCGATGCCCTCCTTTCGCTTTTGCATCGCCTTCGAGAGAGGTCGGGAGCCCCGCTGGACTGGGTGTTAAGACGCGAGAGCTGGTGGAAGCTTTAGAGAGACTTCCTAGTGGTTCCGTGTGGATGGTTCTGTCATCCTGCTGATTTAGCCTGGTGCCTGTGTGTGTCCATTTCATGCACACGTGTGTGCAGAAATGTGCCCACACGTGACGCTAAACCAGCTGGGGTTACTCCTGTTCTGCTCCAAAAGGCATTGTGTGCAAGAAGCGTCCTCAACCTCCTTGCTAAGTACCTTGACTACTTTTATTTGGGAATTTCAGACTTTAGAAGCTGTCTTTTTATGTCCAGGTCCTGTGACTCATCAGGTACTCATTTATGAACAGCACTGATCTGTCTGTATCCTGCCCCATCACTAACTTCATTCCTAGGACCCAGCGTATGTAGCATCTATATCGCGGTTTCCCTGGCTTACTTGTGTTTGCACTGATGAATTTTGACAGGGTAATTGCCACTTTACTTGTGCAATACTGCTGTAAATAACTGCAGATTTTTTTTTTTTTTTAAGAAACGCAATCTTTTATGTTCTTAATGAATTTTATATAAATAAAACTTTGAACTAGTTTTGGTGAGCTGTTTGGTTTGATTTTGAACTAGTTTTGATGAGCTGTTTGGTTTGATTGGTTTCACAAAATCATGGAGAAGCAGCTGAAATGATATATAAATATATACACACCCACACCTCTGCCCTTTATCAGTCACAGATAAGTGCATTACCCACATGTAGATTTTGTGAATTCTTGCTTGAAGACGGTTCTGTGTAGTCTACTTAAAAGCAAACCACTCTTTAAAGTTTTGAAGTGGCTGGCGAGAGCGACGCCACGGTTGTCTGCCCACGTAGCCAGATATGACTCAGCACCTGGGAGAGGGGATATTAGGTGACGGCTCTGAACTGTATTGATTAGCGATTACGGCAGATACCCTGCCATCTTACCTGTCAGAGTTTGAAGAAAAACCCAAAGATGGAAAGTCTCGTTCGACTCTATAGAAAGAGCTTATCTGCAGGGCCTGCTCAGAGCTGGGGGAATCATCAAGTGCCTGGACCCCTGTGTGTGAACTGATCACTGCCCCCTTGTAAAGGACCCACTGAGTTTCGGGGGCCCTGTGCTGTGTAGTGGGGTGAACTGGTTTAGGAATGGCTGAGAGAAATTAAAGCCTGATTTGGGGATATAGGTTATGAAATCCTAAATTAGTAATTTGCCACTTTTACTCTGAAATAAGTGGTGGGAAAGTTAAAGACTCACTGACTCGTGTGTTAAACTGGTATTCTGTTAATGCTTTTCATTTTAGTTAGGTGAGCAATATATGAATAT